CTGCAATTATCTACTCACAATGCTGTCAGAGCTAAAAGTAAGATGTGGTCTCACCTGGTGAATTTAAACCTAAAGGGGAAACCTCCCTGAGTTGTGAATGATAACTACCTGCACTTTGAGCTTTTACCCTCAGGGAGGCACTATAGACAAAAAGAAGCTACACAGCAGTATCCTGTGAACTCTGCAACCCCAGGAAAAGAATATCCTGACAGATTTTCAGAGATAAAAGCTGCAATGATCTGAATTTATAAGCAGATAAACTTTCATTGCTACATAGTTTATCCTGCATCCTTTGTATTTATGTGGTCTGAATCACATTACTGAGTAATTACTGTAACTGTTCAGTATTCTAAATATTTGGATGATTCTGCACATCATTGAGCAAAAGTACATAGGACCAGTGTTGGTCAAGTTACTTGAAAAAGTTATTCGTTACTTATTTCTTGTTTCTTTCCCCCAAAAGTAATCCAGTTACTTTACTGATTACTTATTTTCAAAAGTAATTAGTTACTTAGTTACTTTTTAAAAACACGATTTACAACCTGAATAGGTGATAAAGCGATAGATCTTTCAGCCCAATTCTACTTTTTCTACGTAATCAAATGGAAAAGTCTCTTTTTAAAACTTGTTTTATTAGTTTTAATCTTTTAACTTTATGCATCAAGCAAAGATTTAATTATCTGCACCATTCACTGACTGGAAGAAATTAGTTTAATATTTAAACCTATTTTCTGCACATTCCAGCACATTATATATATATATATATATATATATACATCAGCACTACAGCACTAACAACACTTCCTGTTTTCAAAGTATGTGCACATATAAAACTGCAAACATCCTGACTATAAGTCATTGTTTTGCATATATATATATATATATATATATAAACACCCAGCACGCCCCTGCGGGCGGTTTATCCTTCAAGCTCGGGTCCTCTACCAGAGGCCTGGGAGCTTGAGGGTCCTGCGCAGTATCTTAGCTGTTCCCAGGACTGCGCTCTTCTGGACAGAGATCTCCGATGTTATTCCCGGGATCTGCTGGAGCCACTCGCCTAGCTTGGGAGTCACCGCACCTAGTGCTCCGATTACCACGGGGACCACTGTTACCTTCACTCTCCACATCCTCTCGAGCTCTTCTCTGAGCCCTTGGTATTTCTCCAGCTTCTCGTGTTCCTTCTTCCTGATATTGCTGTCATTCGGAACCACTGGATAGCGTAGTGGTTAGACTACACGCCTTTGGAACAGAGGATCGCAAGTTCGATTCCTGCCTGGGGCGTCTGTATCCAGTAAGGGTCCTAAGGCTAGACCCTAAGCTAAGCGAGCCTACCGCAGACATGAGCGAGACAGAAATATGAAGGCATGCCGGCTCGGACGTCGCCCGGATCAACAAGGTCCGCGTCAGGTTTTGAGGAACCTGGGCACCCTGACGAGAAGTGGGCTACTGGAACAAGAAGGCATCGGTGGGCAAGAGACGAAAACAGGGCGTTGTTGGAATGCTACTATGCAAATAACCCTGGCGGAAGGGGCTACATGACTAGGATGAGGGACCTATGGATTCTTCGATATATATGTTCATTAAAGTTTTTATTGCATGATTATTGGCAGCTGTTTCCTAAAAGTAAACACTGACATGAACAATCCCCATGTGAGTTTATTACAGCTTAAAATTTAAAAAGAAAGAAAAAATATTATTCTTCAAAAGAAAAAGATTTTTTTAAGCTGACAAAACAAGACCAACCACATTTTTTCTCTGTTCTTTATAAAACATCCATCCATCTTCTTCCACTTATCCGGGGCCGGGTCGCGGGGGCAGCAGCCCAATCAGAGAAGCCCAGACCTCCCTCTCCCCAGCCACTTCCTCCAGCTTATCCAGGGAAATACCAAGGTGTTCCCAGGCCAGCCGTGTCCTAGGTCTGCCCCGGGGCCTCCTCCCAGTGGGACATGCCCAGAACACCTCGCCCAGGAGGCGTCCTTGTCAGATACCTGAACCACCTCAGCTGGCTCCTTTGGATGTGGAGGAACTTCTCATCCTATCTCTAAGGGAGAGGCCAGCCACCCTTCGGAGGAAGCTCATTTCCGCCGCTTGTATCCGCGATCTCATTCTTTCGGTCACTACCCACAGCTCGTGGCCATAGGTGAGGGTAGGGACGTAGATCGACCGGTAAATTGAGAG